AGAATTTTTGAGTGAAAATAATGAACGATCTAACAGAATAGAAGCAAGATTAGATCAATTGAGTACTGCTCATAGAACCTTGGAGATGCAAGTGAGTCAAATGGCCTCCGCCATGAATACTCGTGGGCAAGGTCAACTGCCAAGCAAGTCTGAAATCAACCCTCGTGAAAATTGTAGTGCTATCATGTTGAGAAGTGGGAAGCAGTTGGGTGACAAGGAGGAACCAAAGACCATTGAAGTGAATGAGACCACTGATGAGAAGAAAGAAGAGAGTAAAGAGAGCGATGAAGAAAAAGTGGAGAAAGTGGAACAAGAGGAAGAAAAGATATATGTGCCACCACCGCTTAAACCTTATGTTCCACCAGTGCCTTTTCCACAGAGACTCCATATGACCAAGCAAGATAGGTTGTTTGAGAAATTTTTGAAAGTTTTTAGGCAATTGCATATTAACATTCCTTTTGCATATGCTTTAGCTCAGATTCCTACTTATGGAAAGTTCTTGAAGGAGATCATCTCCAACCGAAGGAAAGTGGAAGACTTTGAGACAATTGCATTATCTGAGGAGTGTAGTGCTGTTATTCAGAGGAAGTTGCCTCCAAAATTGAGTGATCCAGGGAGTTTCTCTATTCCTATCTCTATGGGTGATGTTTGTTTTGATAAAGCTTTATGTGATTTAGGTGCTAGTGTTTCATTGATGCCTTTATCTGTTTGTAGAAAGCTTGGGTTGAAACATTTGAAACCAACTAACATCACTTTGCATTTAGCTGATAGGTCCATAACTCATCCGAAAGGGATTTTGGAAAACGTTCTAGTAAAAGTTAAGAAATTTTATATCCCTGTTGATTTCGTTGTGTTAGATATGGAAGAAGATGCTAATGTGCCAATTATTTTAGGTCGACCATTTCTAGCCACAGCTGGTGCTGTTATAAATGTTAAAAATGGGAGTTTAAAATTTCATATTGGAGAAGAATCCATGGAGTTCACTTTTTCTGAAAATTACAAATGCCCTCCATTTACTCATCATGTGTTTAGGGTAGATATTATTTAGGAGCTAGATAAAACTGATGTGTTCATTGCTAATTCTAAAGATCGTCCCGACATATGTATCAGTGATGTAGGCACAGATAGAAATGGAAGAAGAATGATGGAAGAAGAATGATCCGGCTCATGACTTTAAAGAAGCGCTTATTGGGAGGCAACCCAATTCTTTATTTTTCTTTATTTTTCTTTTTCTTTCATTAATAAGTTGATGGTTAAGTTTTTTGTTCCTGATTATATAGAGATCTGTGATTTCTGGATTTTCGTGGTTTTTCTTAATCATCTGTTTTTTTAGGTTTGTTTTTCTGATTTATTTTAGTTTGCAATTAGATTTGTTGGAAGGGTGCAACTCTGGTGTCCAATGGTGCTGAAAATGAAACATCCAAAAGTCTGAAGAAGTTGGTCGTGTGCTTGGATAGCAGTTGCAACAGTTTATTCAACAATTCCGGTCCTCCGCTTCATATTCCCAAGGTTGTGTCGTTTCTTTTCATTCTTTTTGTTTATGTCTTTTCTTTTCTTTTCACTTGGTTGTCTTGTCTTTTGTGTTTTATACATTAAGGGCAATGTATACTTTAAGTGTAGGAGAGAGGAATTTGTGTTTTGTGTTTGTTGTGTTTTTTTGTGTTTTGTGTTTGTTGTGTTTTGTGTTTATTTTCATTAAAAAACCATAAAAGTTGAAAAAAATTGAAAAATCCAAAAAGGCCTAGGATGAAGATGGTTTGATTATCTATAACATGTAAGAATTAGACTATTTTGAATTGCATTGCTTCACTTGTGTATTTTAATATGTTTCTTTGAATACCCTGCTTTTTATGCACTTAGTCGTGACTGTGGGATAAGCCTAAAGTGAGACATAGTTGCATGAGTTTGATGTAGATATGCCATGAAAAGTTGTGTTTGATTCACTCATACTTATATGATTTGTATGTGGAATCCATCATGTTGTGAAGGAAAAGCAAGGCATTAACCCAATATCAGCCTTAAAAAACCTTATTGCTTTGACACTTTGTGTTAAATAAGTTTGGGGGAGGGGTGTTGGCGGATGCTTCTGAGGTTAGGTTAAATTTAATGAGGGAGAAAGGAAGAGCATTCAATGTTGATGCTAGCCCATTGAGAGGTGAGGAATTGGCAACCTGAGCGGAGAGTCCTCAGGCCCGGTCAGGAAAAATCGATATATAGACTGCCCTAAGTTGCTGAGCCACAATGTATAGGAGTGGAAAAATGCTCTGGGTAGTGGTCTGAGTTAGAAAGAGTCCTGAAGAAAAGCGCATGGACCGAAGAATGGGTTACGAGGGGGAATAGGTCGTCTGTGAGATAAGTCCTTCTACTTCATAGTATGATTGGCGGTCCATTGCATTGGAATATGGTATGAAATGTGAATCTGTGTTAAAGTGTTAATATATGGCATATTTGTAGGAGAGCTTTTGTTTTCTATGTTGAATGTAAAGTGATGTCCCTAAGAAGCGGGTCGCACACACACACACAAGCGTGGGGGGCTAAAAGTAGATATGGTTTGCATTTTGCTAGGTAGTGTATATTAGAGGTAGTCGAAGTCTTTGTGTAATATGATATTAAATCTCTGAGGCCGCTTAATTAAATAATTTAATGTTTTTGTTTGTTTTGATTTTTGGGAATGCTTGAGGACAAGCAAAAATTCAAGTTTGGGGGTATTTGATATGCTTATATTTTATCTATTTATTACATCCCTAATTTGTGATGTTTTGCAATATATTTTGAGTACAAATGTGCTATTGATGTGATTTTATCTTTAATTGTAGGAATTGTACTCAAAAGGAGGAATTGTTGAAATTGTAGGCTAAAATGAAAATAAAAGCAACTCAAATGAAGAAATTAGAAGACGAAGAATTAGAGGACTGAATTGCATTTTTTATTTTTTATTTAGGGTTTGGCCGAAACAAGGACTTGCGGCTGATTTGGGATTGGAATTGGGTAATAATTTTAATCCCAATATTATTTGGGAAACAATTCTTCTTCCTCTCCAAGAAGTAGGGTTTGACGGAAGTCTATAAAAAGAGGATTAGGGTTTTATTTTTCCAACCAAACTTGACCGAAAAACTCACATCTCCCTCACGGTTGCAAAATTATCCCCTGCCGCTCCACCTTTCTGGCGATGCAACACCTCTGCCGACCTCCACCTTCTTCCCCACCTTAATCATCATCATCCCATCACCACGCAAGTCCATCTTCCTGGCCACGCAGCCAACCAAGCAGCCTTCTTCTCCTCCTTGCCACAGCAACCTTACGCACACCATCATCATCACCACCTTGCAGCCTTCTTCTCCTCCTTGCCGGAGTAAATCAGCAACCGAAGAACCTCCTTCCCAGCTATTCTTGTGCACCATCATCATCTTCAGTTTGCAAGCAAGCAGCAGGCCAAGTCCACTTCCACGCACACCACCATTAACATCACCAGCCTGCTTCCACCTTGCTGCTGCACCATCACCAGCTTGCTTCCATCCCTTCAAGCGCGCAGCAACCAAGAAGAAGAAGCAGCAACTTTGACTTGATTCTCGGCTTTTGGTCACTTCGGCAAAGCTTTTTGGGTTTCATATTTCAGTTTTATTTTATTTTCAGAATATTTAGACAATTGAGCATTATTGATTTCACTTTGTTTTTGATAATGTTAAGTAGCTAAATTCTTTTAACCTAGGGCTTGGATGTAGCCGCCGGATTTATTTGGTTTATTTGATTCATGATACTTTGATTTTTCTATTGATCAATATTTAATATTCTTGATTTTATTCCATGTTTGTAACTGGCCACTACTTGCATGTTTAAAGATATTAATTGATGGAACGATAGTTGAAAATTAATATTAGTTCATGGGAATATTGGACTTAGGTAGTGAACCACGACAGTAGGAGCACAACCTTTGCAACGTTAGATTCTTAAGTTCTTAATGTACTTTTGTTAATCCCTATAGTCACGAGAGTAGTCATAGGGTTAATATAAGTAAGAGAATTATAACACGAGAGTGTGTAGTTCTTAATTAGGTGAATCGTTGTGAGATTAATGGAAGTTAAAAGTCAGATATTTGTGAATTGAACTAAACCAAATATTCGGTAGGTGAACCCAATGTCCTAGGTTTTCTTTGTCTGATTATTTGATTATCTGCTTTTATTTTATTTATTTATTGTAGTTTTAAATTTTATAAATCTGAGATCATCATTTATCTAGATAATAATAGGAGTAATTTATACCTGGTAATTAGTATTCCTTCTCTGTGGGTACGACCCTATTTTCCGCTATACTAGTGTTAAGTAGGTAAATTTATTTGACTAGTTGTGACGACGGCTTGTCAGTTTTATTCATTTCTTAGAATTTCTCATTGTCCGGTTGAGTGCCAATCCAAAGGCATCACCCTGTTTAAGATAATTCCAGCGTTTGGTTTACGCACTTTGAGAATATCACGCGGTCGCTTGAAATTAGTTTGAGGCAAATCGGTTTCCACTATAAAATACAATTTTGACTCAAACAAGCAGGTTTACAGTAAATTGAGGAATGGTTTCAAAGGTCAAAAAGTGAAAAGAAGTTTGGGTAGTGGAGCTGTGGCAGCTTACATCTTCCATATTTGGCATGAAAGGAATAGCAGAAGATTTGCTTAGGGAATCAGGACTGTTGAAGATAGGTTGATGTGCATTAAACAGGAATTAATGTAGAGGGTTGATTACTGTTGTAGCAAACTTAGAAAAGAAGACAGAAGATATTTAGATACACTTGGAATCACTCTTGTATAGTTGATCAGGAAGTTTTGGAAAGTTTTGTAGAGATAGGAATACAAGTACATGTAAATATGCTTCAGTTTTCAATATAATTTTACCTTTTACCCAAAAAAAAAGATAACTCAGTTCTTAATAGAAAGATAAACTGTCCATCGTATTAGGTCCACCAAACTGACTAAATTTTTTGTTGTGTTTGTTCTCTTGTCACGTTGTTTCCAGCTGTCTTGATAAAGCAGCAATAGTTGAAGATAATGATAAGCAGATCAGCACTAGGAGACTAGCAACAATTATCATGGTTGAGGAGACAAAACTTGTATTTAATTTGTTTCCAATACGGCTAACATCTGTGATATTTGGAGTTTCCTTGGCGCAGTCCCCAACATTCTTCATTAAGCAAAGCAGTATGATGAACAGAACTATAGGAAACAAATTTGAAATCCCACCTCCTAGTTTTGGTACTGTTGGTCCGCTCACAACGTTACTCGCAATTGCTTTTGATGAGAAGATACTAACCCCGGCACTAAGAAAAGCCAAAGGAGATGAGCGTGGCTTAAAATTTTTTCAGACAATAGGTATAGGAATGATATTCCCAATCCTAGGGATGGCAGTTTCCGCATTGGTGGAGAGAAAAAGGTTAGGATTAGCCGAAGAAGAAGTTGAACAAGGAAATCAAACAGGACAAACTCTTCCAATGAATGTGTTTTGGATACTTCCTCAGTACATGATTTTCGGAATTGCAGATACATTTTTCCTAGTTGGTTTACAAGAGTTCTTTTATGAGCAAGCTCCTGAGTCAATGAGAAGCTTAGGCGTCGCGTTTCTATGCAGTGCTCTTGGAGTTGGCAACTTTGTTAGTGGTTTCATAATATCCATTATAGCACACATCACTGAGAAGTTAGGAACCAGTTGGTTTGGGAAGGACTTGAATAGCAGCCGTTTAGACAAGTTTTACTCGCTCATGACAATTATAAGTGTTGTCAACTTGCGTATGTGTGTTTTCTTTGCAAAGAGACAGATGTACAAGAATGTGAAGAACAAAATGTCGGTGGTAGATGACTTGGAAGTTGACAAGGCTCATGCAATGACATAAGATTTTATTTTTACATCCATTTTTCATTGTTTGCATGTGTAAATATTCAGAAAGTGCAAGTTTGAAGCTCTCTCAAAATAACTAAAAAGAAATGGAGCAGCCTTTTTCTCTAACTTTTACATTCGCAATCTAAAGTACACAGTTTAATTGGTTTCGCTTATTGATTATTTATCTAAGAATGAATATTTCTACCACGTCTTGGCAAGTTACTTCTCCTATAAGATTTTTCATGTGTAACAAAACAAAAACAGAAGAACTTCAGCATCTAACCTATAAAAATAATACTTGAAGGAATAAATTGGATCTCTGATTCATTAAACAACTGATTGCCGAGAACCATTATGCTCATGCACAATGCATGTTGCTAAGAAAAAATTATCACTCATGAGATAATTCCTTTATACTTTCATAAATAACATTGATATGATTTAATAATCCAGCAACCTTAATTGAAGGAGTTCTGCAAAAATCAAATTATTGATTCATAATATATGTATTGTTGGCGGGATAAATGTGTCGATCAAATTCCCCCCTTTTTTTCCCGGAAGCGAAAGATTGATTAATTGACGTAATCAGTTAAAAAAATTGTATATACTTTATTACACTATTTTCAAACTAGAGTCATCATTTATACCTATGTTTAGTCAAGGAAATTATATTAAACATTAATTTAGATTACTATTTTGAAATTTGAATCTACTCCATCCGAATATAATTTCAATTGATGAACTATCTTTTTGGATAGTCTCCTAATCGCACCTAAACACAGCAAACCTAAATATATTATCAATGCACTTCTTCGGGTATATATACCCCCTTCACCATCTCAAAATCAACACAAACCCATACTCTCATAAGCACATCCTCTCTACATTTTTTTCCCATCTAAGAACTATGGCAATGTCAAGAAGGCTCACCCCGGTTAGTCAATTGAACAGTAAGGTTGGATGCGGATGGATTATTAACGTGAAGTTATGCCGTGTTTGGGATCGTCCGTCATACAAAAATCAATCTCAGGTCGATCAACATGAAATGCTACTTATGGATGATAAGGTAAATTTGTTTTATTTATCATAATATCTCTGCATCATTAATTTAATCCAAAATTTAGTTGTGCTGAATTTGTCGAGTAAATCGATCGTTAATTGTGTTATTGCATCTGTTCGGATATGATGTAGGGAGACAATATCGTGGCTGCTGTCCATCTTGATCATTTTGATCAATTTGGGAAAATGCTACATGAGGGTAGTTCGAAACGAATCTCCAATTTTTGTTGTGCAAAGGATAAGGATAGATTTAAGCAGTGCACACATACTTTCAAGATTGAGATTGATCAGAGAACTAAAATCGAAACTGGCAGCGATGTAGATACTAGCAACTATGGAGGAGATCATGGATTCTCCTTTGTTAGTTTTTCCGACATCAGCAGTGGGAAGATTGGCCTATCGCAATTAATTGGTGAATCACGTCTCATACATATACTATTTTTATTACACAATATCTCTTACATGCTTTCATATTTCTCATACTTTTGTTTTTTTTACCTTTGTAGACGTGATCGGAAAAATTGTCTCTACTCCCGGATTGTAGACAAGAAACATGAAAGGACAAGCAAAACCATGTCTTGATCTAATCTTAAAGGATGATAAGTAAGTTCGGAGACATGCATTTCTATGGTTGATATTTTGATCTTTTGCATATCCTAAAATGAAATAATGATTGATTTTAATTGTTTTATGTATAGGGGGGGTACTTCTTAAAGTGTAAGTTATGGGGAGAACATGGTATGAAAGTTACAAACTATTTTCAAGTCACCGGAACTATCAAACACATAATAATCATTGGAAATGCAATGATTAATGGTTTTCAAGGTAATCACGGAACCAAACTAAAATTACCATTTTTTGTTTATGAATACACTTACTACAATTATATGTGTTGAACTTTCTATTGAAATATATATGATTATTTCTTCACCTAACACAGACCAACGGAAAATCCAAAATTGTCTATAAAGTACTAATGTTTACCTCAACGAAGACATGCCTGAGATTTATGAATTCAAAGGAAGGTATGATTATGCAGTTTATTCAATGAACTATATATATGTTTTATAAACCTTTGATGTGATGTCATTGATGTTTAACTTTCCATACGTAATTAGGATAACGGACTTGGACGATGATGACCAAGATTCTATTGTCAATGTCATGGAATCTTTCACCAATTCCGGAAGTATTCAAGATGAAGTTCTAAAGTGACACAAGACAACTATTGTAGATTTGGAGAATCTTACAATGGTTTGACTTTTTTACTCTATCGTTTGTAACATAAAAGATGTACATGTTTATGTATTTATCAAATATTTGAAGTTTGACTCTGGTACATATCTTTATTGTGATTTTTTGGTTTGTATTAGCCGAGATCAAGTCATGCAATGGTTGCAACAATTGAGTCAATCCATTACAAGTTTAGTTGGTATTGCATTGGTTGCAATAAATGTAATAAGAGGGTTGATTCGGAAAATGTTACAATAATCGTGGTTAACATTGAAGATGAAACATCTTCAAAAAAGAAAACCCCCACAAAAACGATATTCCGATGTGAAAGTGATGGTTGCCCGAAAGTTGTGACTGTTGTTGGTCCAAAGTAATGCCCCTCCCATAAGTTGATTTTTTATTACATAACAAACAGTATTTGTGTTGTTTGGCTTAATAATAATGTCAACTTTTTCATAGGTACAAACTTAAATTGGACGTTGAGGATGGAAGTCCTGGAATTTGCACATTCGTGATGTTTGACCAATGCATATATAACCTCCGGAATAAATCGTGTGAATAGCTTAGAGAAACCGTTGTGTTGGTTTGTAACGTCTTTTACTTTTTACACATTTGTTAATTCTTTGTGCCCATACTTAATGTCACTTAACGCTAATAAATTGCACAATTTTTAGGGTACTCTGGATAATCAAGTCCCGGAAGAACTATCACCTTGTGGGCAAGAGACTTTTTTTTAAATTCGAAGTGACTGAGTACATCATCTCAACAGGGTCCACCATATATAAATGCACAAAAACTATCGATGACCCAATCCTCATAGACAAATTTGAAAACTTGGATGATGATGATCGCCCCAACGGGAGTCCGTCTTATGTTGTCGTTTCTCAGTCTAGAAATATCTAATAATATTCACCTAATTTTATACATTGGTCATTTTACCTTGATCCTCCTCTGAAATAATAATTTTATTTTGTACTAAATAGGTAAGTGGATCGAGCTCCATGGGAGTGTACGAGGAAATAAGTGATGAGGCTGTCACTCCCATTAACCCGGTTAAAAAAAGAGGAAGACAGTTGAAGTTGAAATTGACGATGCAGAACCCCAGGGGTCATCGACCAAGAAACGTTTTTAGTCCACGGCAGTTGGCTTCAAACTTATGATCGATGTGAAAGGTGAATTTGGTTATCTTCCCTATTTCTTTAAGTTTTACTTCGTAGAATAAAGTGCCTTCCCACTGTCTTGACGGACTTGATTAGTTGTCGTGGGTTAAGGCTTGATGTTTAAGCCTCGAATTTGTTTGCGAGTTTATTTGTTAGCATATCAAAATTTCGACATTTTTTTTGAATTTATATCATAGAAGAATTATCTCCGCGTTTATATTAGTTCGTATTTTGCCACAACTTTCGAGCTTATCGTTTTAATTAAAAAGGATTCCCTTATACATAATAATGTCACCTTGCTGTAATTACATTAATTTCAAAAGAGATCTAATCAAAACAAAAAAAAAAACTTCAGAAAATAAACCAATATGTCAAGTTTTACTGCTTTCTGTCGTTTATTACACAACCCATCCACAATTAGTTAATGTCGAATCCTGCCCATATTTCCCAAACAAAAACATAGCACAATTATATTAATCCTACCAATCATGATCTCTATACAGCAACTATATTTCCATTAATGGCTTGATTCTTATCACATCATTATGAGATAATTTCATAATAATGAAGCCAGTATCCTTCCCCTAATATACATCCAATTTCTTTCCGTTCTTATCTTTCCACCTAATTCTATTCGTTATTTTTTTTTGTACTCATTAATTACATTATACACAACCTATACTGAGTTTATTTTATGCTATAATTGTGTCAATTATCCCGGTCCATTTATTCTTCTGCAAATTCGTTACATATGTTGTTTTATTTTCCTAAGGATGAAACTATATCATCCAATTCCTTCGACTAATGATCGAAATTATCTCATATTTTCAATATTTTGGGTTCAAAAAAATAGTAATTGAATTTGGACAGCTGTTATACTACAATTGACAGCAAAATATTTACCAAAAAAAAACACGACCTCCCTCAGAAATCAACGTGGATGGAACATTAATGCCCCGCCGTGATAATTTGACAAATTATAGGATATTTATGAAGGATCAGCATTGATTCCGTCCTCATCTCTAAATACAATGCATAATGAAATCCTTGCCACCAATAAAAAATGGAATAACTTCAGCAAACGTGGTTCTTCAGAGGTTTGCCGTTTTCTTTGTCCAAATGAATGACGCATTCACTACCTGCTGCAAAGAAAATATTCAGAACACATGCGTCAGAAAATGCTCACCGATCACCAAATCAACCTCATTAATTTTAAAAGGAATAATAACAAACAAAAATCGGCTGAGGGAAAAAACAGACAGCGCGCTTTCTGCGGGTAGTAATTTTTTTTTTTTTTTTTGCATTGTTTGTTTGTTTTTCTTTTTTTCCCTCCTTATTAGTTAAATTACACAACTCATGATGAAGTTTACTCATCCCGAATCATACCCATGATTTCCGCAAAACAAATATAAAACTACAAATTCTGCAAATAAATCATGGTCTTCTAGAATCAATAATGATATTATCCTTAGATAGTAAACCAACGAACTCCTTTAAATGTGGCAATTTATTCAATGATGTGCTTTTATTATAATGAATGAAATCATTCTTTTACCGTACATGTAAACTTCACGTCATTCTTCAGGGGTTGCACGCTTTCTTTGTCCAAATGAATCTCGCATTCACTACCTGCTCCAATTTTCATTTTCTTCAATCAATTTGTTCCAGTCCCCTATGAGTTTAACCTACCGTAGTTTTTTTCCGGTGTAGTTCGGGTGGATTCTCATATAATACACTCCTGCATTTGTGTGTAGCTCAGCCATTCTCTTTCTACAAATACCTTTGTTCAAATGTCAAAATTGAGCAGGAACTGTCTGTTAACATGAAATGCATGTATCAAGCCATTAATTAACTAAATATATAAATCTGAGATTTTAATAACTGTAAACCATGACAATGTCATATTATTGCTTTCTGATGCGAATGGTTCTCAGCAATGGAAATATGAAAACGGTCTTCCTGTTAGACATCTGTAGGACCTATGTTTTCGACTCCCTTTATTGAAAAATTGTATCGTCATCCGCATACTTCCAGCATATGATAGCACGGCAAATTCATCTTCTGTAATCCTACCTGCATTATCCGAAAATAACTTCTTCCATGAACTACCAGAAAGAATAAGGGGTTCGTCATTTTCCTTTGTAAAATAAGCTATGTCAACTGTTGTTCTATATTTGTTGTAATCATTTGTCGAGAACGAAGCCGACACATGCTTTAACGCATGATCTTCTTTAAACCAATTACTCAATCTAACTGATAGTATCTGTGACATGATTTCAGGTATTTATAAAATATGTGCTCAATAAAATTGTACTTAATAAAAGATAATTGCGGAGAAACTAGCGGAAAGCATTTGAATACCATGTAGTTCATGATGTGTTTGCAATAATCCCATACAATCATTGGTTGTAAGTTGTCTGTAAGCAATTTATCCTTGTCAAACACTCGCACATCAATAACCCCTATCCTTTTGACTGTCAGATAGAGAGCAAATTTTTACAGCAACATGTGTTCGGTGACAAAGTGCATCCAACTTTTTGTCTCCAACTAAATTGCCATCTTTTGATCGTTCAAACTGCATCGGACCTTGAACTCTCTGCCATTGCTGATCATAGTTATCTCACCACTGGGTTTATGATCCGGAGATAACGAGTCTGGTAGCGGAATTCCCTACACATATTAAACTACATTAAAATACAACAATTCTAATAGCCAAACTCCTTCAGCATGTAATTAGTTCATAATATAATAACATTACATAAATTGAAAACGAATATCACCATGCCCCAAATAAAACCCAATCCAAGAAATAAGAAACACTTGAAATTAATATTGAATCGAGAGTGAAACCTATAGTGTGTTGTACATTAGTATTTAAGGTTTTAGGGTTTGGCCATGAATTAATCTAATTCCCAAATCGATTATGTCCCCAATTCAACCTCCTTATACTATCTTTTTGGAAAAACATAATAAATTAAAATCCGCACTTTAATCGCGTGTGATATGTATCATTATTTTCTATGTTATAATACATTTTAACGTAAAAAAGTTAAAACATTTGATGGCCGGTCGTTACTTTATTTACATTGTTAGGATAAAACGTAAAACCTTATATTTAAAACCGGACCTATAATAGATGAATATCTTTTTTTAATAGCATGACATGTTCAATAAATTAAACTAAGAGATTTGATAGGATTATGCGATAATGTCCATAGAACATTTAGGGTGTGTTGACTTCTCATCCCAATCAATTCGGATACAATTAATAAAACATCAAAAGTTATCCTTTGTTTTTTAAGGAAATGATAAGTACTGTTATTGATAATGATTTTTTCATTGTTAATTTTTTCACCACTCTCATATTCCCTATCAATTGATATGTAAATAGCTGGCAGTGAACTCTGCATTTTGCTCATTCCTTGCCCTCCTTCAACTTCTGATATCGAAAAACCCACACCCTCATATCGAATATGGCCAATTCACTTATCCTTTCTCAAAAAAGAACTAAGGTTCATGTTCCATTCCTTCTTTCTTCACGCCCTACCTTCGAAGATCCCGAAGAAGTTAATGTTCCATCACTTCTTCCTTCGCTTACCAAATTTGAGGCTTTCAATTTTGACATTGTATGTCAAATCCTTACAAAAATTTGTGCCGACTCAATACCCAATGCATGGCTGGTTAGTAAGAGTTGGTATGAAATCCTTAAAGATCCTGCTAACCAGTTGACCATTAGGAAAAACCACCTAATATCTTCTCCTAAAAACTTGCTTTCCGTGCGTCAATCCCCTGATGCAGACCTCTTTCAGCCTACCCCTTTCTTTGCGAAGTTCAACGTCATGGATACTGTTGAGATCATAAAAAAAAAATTTAATTTTCGGGTTCAATATATTCGTAACAAAGGCCCGAGCAAAATTAAACCCGTCACATCTGAATTGTTATTGGTCCAATATCCTTCCGAGTTCGACCAAATAAACCCCACCACTTCTGCAGTTCATCCCTTCTCACCCCCGTTTAGGTATTCCGGTCCACACAATAACACAGCGACTCTATCCTGACAAATTATATCAGAGGAAAGAGTTGTTGGCTAAATAGGTTTTTGATATTTATACTTCTAGTCTGGACGGTGTCGTTTTGCATGCCCAGTGTTCTGTTTTTCTCCTTTCTCTTTTGTGTATCTACGGTTCCAATCTTGTTAACCAATCCAGTTTCTCCAATTTACCTATTGCTAATCAAATGGCTCAGTTTATCTATTGGCCAATCAAATTTCTCAATTTAGACCTAAAAGTCTCCTGACCAATCAGAATCGAGATTTTAAACTCAACAGAGACTTTTATTCTTTATCTATTGGCCAATCAAATGGCTCAATTTATCTATTGGCCAATCAAATTCCTCAATTTAGACTTAAAAGTCTCCTTACCAATCAGAATCGAGATTCTAAACTCAATACAGACTTTTATGGTAAGTAGAGATAAGAATAGAGATGAATCAGAAAATAAGTCATTTTAAAATATTAAAAACTTTTACTTAGAACATTTTATTGACCTTACTAAATATTTTATTATTGTCAATTTGTCTACTATAGTACCTATGTATAAGGGCAATTAAGTCAATTAATTCTTAAATAAAACTAAAGAGAAAAAAGATTCCATGCATCCGTTATTTATTTTATAATAGTGTTTTTTTCCCTGAAAATGTTTTTATAAAAGTGGATTAGTCCAATGTAGCAATATTATATAGAGAATCTTAATGATAAAAAAAAAAACAGAATCTTATTGTAAGTCTTATTTATTATCCTAAATGAATATGTAATATTTTACCTTAAACTATTAGGCTTTATTTGTCCAACCTCTTGTTTCACGTTTTGTTTCATTTTACCTATTAAATACAAAATCCAATGCACTGTCCAAACAACATTATAATTTACTTTTTAAAATATTACGTTTGGTCATTACACTATTGTAAAATCTTCATTTTGGTCACTGAACCATTGTAAGTGTTTATTGCGCTTGGTCACTAAACTATTGTAAAGTTTTGCGTTTGGTCATTACACAATTGTAAACTCTTCATTTTGGTCACCAAAATATTTTAATTTCATAAATGGTCGCTATACTATAATACTTTTTCAAATAAAAAATTAAAGTACATTTTAAATCTCCTCCCAAATCCAAATAAAAAACTAAAGCAAAATATTGTCCAAAAAAGCACTTTGGGGGTGTTTTTTGTGGGAAAACTTTTTGGGTGTGAAATGTAGAATTGGTTTAATAGGATTGAGAAAAACCTCAAGGCTAAGAATTTCAAGCCTCTCTCTGTACATACCTCCAAAAGTCTTTAATCTAAATCTCAGGTAAAAGCTTAACTAATTACAAAATTTAATTTAATCTTAATTAAATCCCAATAATGAAGGTATTGCTTTCGTGTTAAAATATACATTTAAATTTCTGTTGCTGTCATATTAATTAGCCGGCAAATGTTGTTGTTTGCAGATGAAAAATTGAATTTTGAAGGCCATTAATCTAAAATCTGAAGCTCTGTTTAAGGTGCTTCAGATCATGATCGCCTTGTCTTAGCGCCCATTGATCCCGACACTTGGTAAGTTTCTTTAATCCTAGTTGTTTATTATTATGATTTCTTTTTTACTTTCCCATGAATCTTAGCGCTCTTTGTTCTGTTCTGATCGATGAATTTTTTATTTGTATTGATCTCGTAATCCCATTTGTCCAATCTTTTTTCTTATTTTTGTTGGGATTGATGGTGATTCCGGTTTCTATGGATTGAATTTTCTATCTACAAATCGGGTTTGTGTTACCATTGCCGAAATTAACATGTTTGTGATCGTCCCCTTTTGTGGAGTAATGTTCATTTGATCAATTGGAGACCGAAGCTTCTGATGCTGTATAATCTGTGTTCTGGAATTATTTTTGTTTTCTTTCGACAAAAATGGACAATGTAACTTTCTTGCTCGTTTATAGGATATGGCGGGTAAAAACTTTTTTGTTGTTTGTCGTCGTTTGATGAAAGTTTATTTGGGCACTTGGTATTATATTTGATCTTTCATGAATGTAGGAGAGGCTTGAAATTCTGTGCATGATAGGTTCAACAAAATGGGGGTTATGTCAAGGAAGGTTGTCCCGGCATGTGGAAACCTTTGTTTCTTTTGTCCTTCTATGCGGGCAAGGTCAAGACAGCCGGTCAAGAGATACAAGAAGCTCCTATCGGAGATCTTTCCTCGATCACAGGTGAGTCCTCTGTCGTGTATGTTAGATGTTGTTGACAAGTTCTTAAGCACTTCCTTGTAAACTTTTTCTCCCAATTCTTCTGTCTTGTAAAGAGTGAAAGCTGATCAATGTGGAGTGTTGTTTAATTGCTGCGGCCTAGTGACCTCTTTCCTATTCCCATTTGATAACTCATATAGAGTTAGGGTAGATGTTATTCAGAATTTGTCTGGTGTAATGGTAATTCAGTTTGTACTATTATGTGCGGTAGTTAGTTTTTTTTATCACACTAACAAATGTTCTTACAGGATGCAGAACCAGATGACCGGAAGATTGGAAAGCTTTGTGAATATGTTTCAAAAAATCCTCTTAGGTTACCCAAGGCAAGTTTTTGTTTGGTTAACTTTTGTAAATTTGGCCATTTATTGCCTTCACCTAGAGCAAAGAGCATCTAAACATTTTCACATTTTGGTCATACTTTTTGAAGCAATTAAGCTGCTGTTGAAAGACTCAATTTTGCTGACCTTAACTTCCAAAATGTGTGAAAACAAATTGCATAGCAGAATGGGTCTTGTCAGCTGATTTGAGGCTGACGCGGCTACCAATTCATTTTTAGCCATCTTCCTCAAACATAAATGTTGTCTTTAGCTTGCACTTGACCATAATCAACAATAAAAGGTTGAAGGAGTTAATTGCCAACTTAACTGAAATTTATGCTTATTTTATTCTTTTTGCTCCACTCTGACTTTTGTCTGTGAAGTAAAAGCACATGATTCTTTGGGCATCATAGTATCATATTCATTACTTGCCCAGATGGTCAAATATGCATTCACGGTGTTAGCTTTTGTTTGATTCTGCATTGCCTGCATTCCAGATTACTGATTACTTGGAGCAGAGGTTCTACAAGGACTTGCGGAATGAGCACTTTGGCTCTGTAAAAGTTGTTTTAGTAATATACAGGAAACTCCTTTGCTCATGTAAGGAACAGATGTAAGTGTTTTCATTGATCAATACTTCAGTGATATTGCTAGTTTTGAAAACATTTGTCTGGTCTTTTGCCTGGAATTTCCCGTCTTTATCTCAATGATCCATTATCTACCTAATTTACTTCCTTACCATTTGGCTTCCTTTAATTTTTTCTCTTTGACCTTAGAATTGATAAATGAAGATGACAACTTGGCCCCTCTTGCAGGCCACTATTTGCCAGTAGTTTGCTGGGGATAGTTCGAACTCTTTTGGAACAACCACAGTATGATGAGTTGCAGATCCTTGGTTGCAGTCTTCTTGTGGATTTTGTGAACAGTCAGGTGAGTGGTTAGTGAATAATAGCATGACTAAGTTGCTGGAAATCCTTATCTAAGAAATCATTCGATACATGCGTAAAGTTTTGTGCAAAGAGAGATCTAAAGATTCAGTTAATAACGTAACTCGGAGGTGTTGAAATGTATTTAATCTGAATGATTTGGCTTGAAGTACATGGTTTCTTGTCTACTTTGCATCTTCGAAGAGGTAGGAGGTCCATTTAATAAATAGTAGTATTTTTTCCAATAGGGTCATGAATTGATACGATCTGGTGCTATTTTGAGAGATTGAAATCGACTCATGTTTAGAATGCGCTTTCAGCCTTTATGTCGAGGACATATCTGATGCTGACCTCTTTTCTGACCTTAAGCAGTCGAACAGTACATATATGTTCAACTTGGAAGGCCTTATACCTAAGCTCTGTCAATTGGCTCGACAAGTTGGAGACGATGATAAAGCTGTGCGCCTAAGGTCAGCCGGAATGCAAGTTTTGGCTGTGATGGTACAATTTCCTTTTTTTTCTTTTTTTTTTCCTCTAAACATTTGTATATTTATATGCATTCGAGAATACAACTGATGGTACAATTCCTCAACCCCCACCCCCCTTCTCTCTCCCTCTCTCTCTCTTTCTCTCTCTCTCTCTCTCTCATGCTGTTTCTGAGCTTTGAAGAAGTGGGTGTTAGACGAGGATCTCTTCTTGAATCTTTTGCCTGTAGCAAGTTCGATTGAGATATAATTTTTAAAGTTAAGGCAGGTCTCATATGGTTTCATTGTAGTTGTTAAGAGTCTTTGTGCCTGGGAGCATGCTGCATTGAATATCTGTATCCATTCTTTTCCACTCCTGTAGTGTTAGAGGATTTAACTGTAGTATATATCTAATCAGATGCCAGGTTAGTTTACTATAAGATAATCAACCACCAAAAAGCTGAAACCCGAGTTTCTAAGTAGCAGTTTGATTAGAGTTCTTACTTTGAAAATTAAGTCCAGATAAGTGAAGAGACCTTATTCCCTCTAAAACAGGCATGTGAGTGCCTGAGGAGTTTCATGCGGCCATGTGCAAAATGTGGGTGGTACCGAAAGTTGTGGGAAATGGGGATTGCCAAGTCAACTCTCAGATATTTAATAGCTGAGTTGTATGTCCCAAGTACATGACCATATTTCTAGCTTGACGAGTTTTGATTTAAGGAATTCACTGGGAAAGGTGATGTGAAATTATGAAATACTGTACATGCATTTCATTTCAGATGCAACTACACTATTCCATCAGTCTGTCAAACTTATAACGTTTCATGCTATATTCCTGTTTATGTTCTAGAATGGAGGAACATAAGAGAAGTGATGGGTAGGTAGTTAAGATTGTTCAAGACTACTGACAAGCACGGGGTTTGGAAAATGAACACTGGGTTTGATATTTCAATTTGCTGTAAACTGACTTATGAGTGATTTTAGCTCTTACTTTGCAAGTTTCTACTAAACAATATAACTTTAAGAACACCGTCTAAAATTGAAAACGTTAGGTCAACTGAACTGTGCTCCCCAGGTTTTTAAGCATGTTTGATTATTGTCTACTTTTGAAATGTTTCTGTTGTGTATTGGTTTCAGTAGCTCGTATATGTCATATTAGGTTAATCATCCAGATTTTAATGGACAAATTGATAATTGTTACACTTGGTTGTAGGAGAATGATTCATGGATGGTCAAGATGAGATATTGATATTGAATTGATATGGAAGCTATTCCTAGATCAAAACTTGCGGGATTACTTTATCTTAGTTCACTGGTTTACTTATAATTTGTATATATTTTTTACTGTTGCTTTTTTTTTTCCTCACATGTGGACTGTAAAATTCAGGTGCAATTCATGGGGAAGAACTCGCATATTTCAATGGATTTTGACCATGTAAGGACTTCTTCAACCTTTTTTCAATGGATTGTGATTGTTCTCAATGAAACTCATTACTTATACAACTTTTTTCCTTAATTGGAAATGACATGTTTTACCAGATCATAGCTGTGACTTTAGAGAATTACTTGGATATTAGAACCGATTTGGTGAATGACCCGCTTTCCTCGGCTAATATTATTGATTCCAAGATAGAAATAACAGGGTAAGTGGCAGATCATTTGAAAACTAAAAGATAACAGAATTCTATGCTTTTGTTTAATCACGTTTTTTAATTCTAATTTTGAAGCAGGGAGGCAGCTAAGAATCCTTCATTGTGGTCCAAGGTTTGCTTGTGTAATATGGCCCAATTGGCAAAGGAAGCCACAACTATACGGCGTGTACTTGAACCTCTTTTCCACTGTTTTGACTCCGACAATTATTGGTCCGCAAAGAATGGAATTGCATTCTCAGTGCTAGCTTATTTGCAAACCTTACTGGAGGAATCAGGTTCACTCTGTGACTGTAATCCCCTATTTTTTAGTTAAGACAATGCTTTCATCTTTAATTATTCTGACATTGATTGTTATTCTCTCTATTTTAAACCAGGCGAAAGCTCCCATCTCTTACTATCAATTTTGGTTAAACACTTGGATCACAAGAATGTTGCCAAGCAGTATGATATGCAGATACACATCATTGATGTTACAACCCAACTTGGCAAAAATGCGAAGCAGCAGGCATCAGTAGCACTTGTTGGTGCACTTAGTGACCTTCTTAAACATTTAAGGAAATGCATTCTAAATTCATTTGGATATTCAAGTCCTAAGGAGGCCTCCCATAAGTGCATTGAAGATCTTCAGGTTGCACTGGAAAAGTGCATCTCACAGCTAGCAAACAAGGTTTTTATCCTTTCCTTTCACTAAATTTTGTTTCTTATATGGAGCCGAGACAGTATTTTATAAAATAGGCATTTTTTTGTATGTTAAATCTGCTTCCAGTGAATATGGTACTCATTAACCCTCTTGTTTGGGATGTTTGGGCTTTGGAGTGAGGATTTCTTGCATGCACTTACAATCAACTTGTATCAAAGAACTGAAAAGTGCCATTTCTGTTTTTGTTGATTCTATCACTCATGCTGTAGACACCAAACTTCATATTCTTTATGTTCTGTTTTATTAATTATAATCTTGAGAAATCAATGAAATGGTAGAGTGTAATATGAAGAGTCTAAATGCTGATAGGATCATCGGTTCTGGAATGGCTGTTTTGGTTGCTTCCCATTTGTGTATATTTTCCCTTGGGGTTATGTTCCATACTTTTCTGTTTTATCCTATTTTTGTACTTGGGACTTTCTTTGTTTTGTGGTAGCAGATAAATTCCATTGAGCAGCAAGTTATTGCTCCTCAATCATTTTAACTTGTGTTTTTTTCTTTGAAAAGGATTTTAACTTATGTTAGAGACAAAAGGAAAGTGACTTGAGGCAGAATTTTTTTTAGACAGTACAATTTACCATAAGTGTATTGTTATTTAGGTTGGGGATATTGGACCTATTCTTGATATGCTGGGCGTGGTGCTAGAAGGGATTCCAACTGGATTGATTCCTGCGAGAGCAACAATCTATGCGGTACACCGAGCAGCGCAGATTGTTTCAACAGTTCCTAACATAACATATCATAAAAAGGTGAGACAATACCATTTGTGTTATAGATTCCATTTGAAATCTTAAAATGATGTCCTCTGCCAAATCTTTGTCCAGGCTTTTCCCGATTCACTATTCCACCAGTTGCTATTGGCTATGGCTCATTCAGATAATGAAACGCGAGCTAAGGCACATCATATCTTCTCCACTGTGCTTATGCCATCTCTCAGTACTATGTTGTCTCACTTTGACAGAAACCTTCCACACACCTTTTCTGAGCAGTCGCCTAACATGTCAAGCAAGATGAAATTCAGAAGTTTTTCCCTCTTGGATGAAAATGATGCCAAATCTGACCTTTTTGATGGAGAAATGGAAGAGGAAAAATTACCGGTCATTGATTCTCTTGAAAATATTTCTTCTAAAAGTTCATCTGGAGGTCAACTAAATAACTCTCAGGATGCGCTCCCATCCGGGAAAAAGGTAGGGGTACAAATAATGCGTAAACTGATCCTTCATGTATTCATGTGTCTTTACATATATGTGACCACGGATACAAGTACTTAGTAATAGTTGACATACAAATACTTCTATTCAGGGAGAGGGTAATTTTTTGAATTGTTGAATTCCTAACTATTTGGTAACTTTTGAACTATTGGTCCCTCCAGGGGTCAAATTTTCTCTATTATTTTTATCTAGAAAAAACTTTCTAAATATTAGAATGGTACTGATAATTTTGATCTGCTTTCTATTTGTTATGTATAGGGGCTTACTTCTCTACGAGTTAGCAGCCACCAAGTTAGTCTGCTTCTTTCCTCTATATGGGTTCAAGCAACATCAGCAGAAAATACCCCGGAAGATTTCGAAGCAATGGCTCACACATATGCCATCGCTCTGCTGTTTACTCGATCAAAGGTGACAATGCATGCTGCACAAGTAGTTAGGATGTTAAACTGTTCGTTTCTGCACTTATATCATTCTACTTGTTTTCTTACGAATGTCAATGATCTGACTATGCAATCAAGGTGAGAGTAAGATACCGCAACAATAACAGTCGGAACCTTTATCCCATTTTTGTGTCTAAAATTACTAAATACAAAGTGCTTTGTTAGATGGTTGGATGCAGGGGAATGGGAAAGTTATAAAATACTATTCCTTGTTATGAAGCAACCATTTCATGAAAATGTGTTTTTGTTCATTGTTTATGAATCCATGCTGCCCTCGCATCTTGAGGGGCATTTCCAAGATATCTGCACTTAATGAGGTTTATCCATGTTAAACTTTACTATCATGCCCCACTACTATCTTTGTATTTAACTATCCATACCTCGCAATAGACCAAGCCCACCTATCATGTTTGTGATAGAGATCTGTTTGTGTTTTTTTTTTAAAATAAATTTTTTAAAATTCTTTTGGGTCGATGAATAGAGTAAGATGAGTTCGTACCTGGAATTTCTTGGGAAAAGTTGGTGTTTTTCTATTGTCTGACGGTTTGCTTCAGATTGGATTGATGGTACCCTTACACGAATAAGAATAGAGTGGTGCTTTGAGAAATTGTGGTTTACAAGATGACATTTTAAGTTGTTTTGGGGTGTAGTACACCTGTAATGAGCTCTTAAAGCATGGTAGAAACTAAAGAATCATTAATGACATTAAAAAGGCAAAAGGGAGACCTGAAAAAAATAAAAAGTAACCGTTGAAGAAGGCATCATCGATTTAAAAGTTTAGTAACATCAATTCTCCCACAATTTGGTGTTGCATAAAAAGTAACCAATGTTTGCCAAATGCACCACTGATCCTTCCACAACTCGAAACCAGTAGCCTTTTATCTTATTCTATTTGATTTTGTATTATCTTTTGCATCCAATACCCATGATTGTAGCATATCATTTCGTGATGGCCAGTATCGGCAATCTGTTTGCTTGCATTGGATTTTCGTCCACTCCAAGAACAATTAGCTGAGTTGATGGGATCATATTGAAGTTTGACAAGACACAAAATTGAGGAACAATTCATGTCAACATGACATATTTAGAACAAAGAAGAACATGTGTATTGAAAGAACATTTAAAACACAGAACATTTCTGTTGAAAGGAGACTATGGTGACGTAATGATCCACATAGTCGAGTCCACTTTCTTGAGAAAGGACTTAATTGATGTTCCTCTCGCCTGTTTAGCTCATGTGGTGAATTAAAGGCCTGGACAATCTGTTTTAGTGTTTGTACTAAAAAGTCATCTCATGTTAATCTAAATAAAACAATCATCTTTCCACCTTTGGGTAAAGCAGTCTTTATTGTCTATGTTGTTCCATAGTAGTCATTTTGGGGATCATAATTTTCTTAATCATCTTGACCGAAAAATTAAATTGTTGTAATGGGGTTGCAAATCTGATAGGTGGCCGAGTTCCTTTGGTTAAAGTACATCTCTTATGCTTACAATGTTTACAGTGCATGATGCTACATTTACAACAACAAACTACCCAGTATATTTACAACTTTGTTGGGGTCTAGGGTTGTATTTCAATACAGAGGCTGTTTAAGTACAACCTAAGATGCATTGGTGTATTTGATGTTTTGATTTCCAGCAGTTTCACTAAAATTTTAGTACTACCGGAATCTAATTGCGCCATTCCATTTTGATCTAGTCCAGTTGCATGATGCAACATGCAACTGATCTCATTCCTTTTAAGTTATCTGATACTCTAAAGTGTAACCTTTTAGGCTCATGTATCCATTTAGTATTCTGTTTCCATGCAACTAAGTAGAAGTTTTGATGAAGTGTTTCTGTCTTTGTGTTTTTTGTCCTTCCTTTTCTGATGGTTATGATGAATTCTATTTTTTGTAGTTTCCAGTTTTTTAATGCTTGTGAAGTGTTTCTGTCTTTGTGTGTTTTGTCCTTCCTTTTCTGTTGGTTATGATGAATTCTATTTTTTGTAGTTTCCAGTTTTTTCATGCTTGTGCATGCATTTCGAAATACTTAGCATTACAAGTTGCTAGTTTTGTACATGTTTGTTTCCTTCAGTTTGACAATTGTGTTAAGATTTTCCATTCTTTGTACTTCCATCCTCCTGTTATTATAATGATTAGTTTAATTAACCCTCCAGTTATTATTACATTTCTTCTCTCTGGTGACATGTTCATGATTAACACAGGCTTCCAGTTCCATGGCATTGGTCCGGCATTTCCAGCTTGCCTTTTCTCTTAGGAGTGTATCTCTTGAAAATGACGGTGAGTTGGGTTTGTTCTTTTGGCAATACTTCATAATTGTAAAGCAGGTTTCTTGCTTGTAGGTTAGCTATTATAATTTAATTAACAAGCTCTTCGTAAATTTTTATGGAAAAATCGCTGTCAATGATATCGCAGAATCAAAAACTTTTGACCAGGTCATGTATTATCTAAATTCTTGTTCATTGTTTGAATATAATGAAAAATTGGCAATTAGCCAAGATGACCATAAACCTTATCAGTTGAAGAGTGCTGTCAAACTCTTTCATAACCATTTACTCCTCAATTTCACCTCTGACAAACCCCATCTATGCAAAAGCTACAGGAAATTATTTCGTGTAAGACATGAATCTAGGAACCTTGTCCACTTATGTGCTGGATTTACTTTTAGTCATGTGCATAATCATTCTTTTAAAGCTTTGGGCTCTTTGATTTCTGTTTATTCATTTGATGTATATGCACATATTTAGAAAATAAGAGCCAAAAATGAAGTCTTCGGGAAACATGTTAAGACATGTTCACATAGTAATAAATATTGGTTATGTCAAATGAGCGAGGTTTCCAATTATCCACAGGACTCTTGCATCTTGTACGTTTAGTAATCTGAGCAAATGCTGCAAATTACCTGAACTTGGAGTACTCTCACTATGGATTGTTGACATGGTCTATTGTGTGTGTTCCCATTCTCCAATGCACATTTTGTATTTCCAAGTAGGCTCACTTAATTTCTAATCCAAAATATTCACTTTGCCAAGCTATAGAACTGTAACAGAAACAGAAATGCTGGCTATATATACTCTTTCCTTCCCGCCAAGTGACGATGTGTGAGCACCTTGTGTTATGCTGAATCTGTTTGTCATGGAGTGTCTTAAATTTTCACACCTTGTAACTGCAAATGAGCAATGTCTTTTCTGGAGAAAAGGCAAGGTTGTACTCTGAATAAAGGGCCCAAGTCTAGATGAGTAAGACAGTTAGTTTTTGGAGTCACATGTAGGTATAGAATAGCCCTTGGTTAATTTTCTCGTCCTTATCATTAGTTTAAGTGGTTTATAGCCCACTGTAAGAATTTGAATGTGGGCAATGTTGCTGTAACTGGAAAATGTCCGTTTTGTATTATTGCTGATAACATTTTACTTGTTTGATCATTCCTTGCTCACAGTTACCATCTGTAATGATTGAAATATGTACTAAACATGTTTAAGTTCCATAATATTAATGACAATATGCGTAATAAAGCCAACTCTTTTTGAATGATTTTGAAAAGATCTATCTTTTTCATGTTACTTCTAGCTTGAAATAGGTGAGAAGTTAGCCATTAGCCATTAAATCTTATAGGATTCTTGGTTTGTTGTTGGAAAGATGCCGAGTTACTTGGCTTAAGATTATTACTACAGATTTTCCAAGACAACTTGAGGTATATTTCATTTGGTGGCTCCTTTCTGGTTCTAATTTCTGTATTCTATCTTGAAGGGGGTCTTCAACCGTCTCAGAGGAGGTCCCTTTTTACATTGGCTTCATACATGCTGATATTTTTGGCCAGGGCATGCAATCTTCTTGTGCTGATTCCTGTCATCAAATCATCATTGACGGATGAGACAGTAAGTGCAAGACTTATCAATTTCGGGTTTTCCCGGTTATATGTGTGATAACCATTGTGGACTTCTCATATAGGTTGATCCATACCTTAAGTTAGTTGAAGATATCAGGCTCCAGGCTCTATCTACCACAGCCATGAGTGACACTAAAGACTATGGATCACAAAACGATGAACTTGCTGCCCTGAAATCTCTTTCTGCAATTCAGTCAAATGACCAACAACTGAAAGAGCTTGTCGTATCTCACTTTATGACCAAGTCTAAACGATTATCAGAGGTAATCGAAATAATGCTAATGGTTAAATACCTTCCTTTGAGTCTATCATTTTTGGTCCCGAGTGTTGGTTTATAACCACTCAGAAGGTATTGTTTGCTTATGTAGCAACCTTAATTTTTAGTTATTATGTTTTTTTGTGGTTAATGGTAAAATTTGTATTATGTACAAACATCAGAGTTCATGTACAAACTAAGTCAATCTATTACATTAAGTAATGATACCAATCGATTTAAAGTATCGAATGTCATCATCACTCCCCTTCCTACAATATATCTGGACCTTCCAGCAAATTTCCTCCTTTAACAACTCAAATCTGTCACCTGCCTCTTTGAATTCCTGCCTGAATTTTCTCCCATTTCTTTCTATCCAAAGATGATAAATTGCAGCATTTAAAACATCAAAAAACAGCTTCTGCCTTGCTTTTTTACCCTGCCAGAATTTTATCAGTCTGTTCCATCTTGATCTCAAACTTACAAGGGAAACAGAAACATTCAGCCATCTTTTAATACAGTTTATCAGATCCTGAGAGTATGGACAGAGAAAAAACAGGTGATCAACATTTTCTTCAGGTCCTGCACATAATTCACATCTCTCAGATTCCTGCAATAGACCAAGCTGTCTTAATCTTCCTTGGGTAAGGAGCCTTTCACAGCTAGCAAGCGGATAAAGCTGTGCTTAGGTAAAGCATAACTACAGCATATGAAATTTGAGGGAAGGAACCTTGGCTGCTTACCTGTGATCCAAGCATAACCAGATTTAGTAGTATAAGGTCTGCCATTGTTCCCTATCCAAGAGCCATTTACTACTCCTCCTTTAAGCTCATTTTTCACTTTCAGAAGCTTCTTCCAATGCCAACTACTGTCTAAAGGAGGTTCAAAGTCCCAAATACCCTTCCCTTTTAGGTAATAAGCATGTATCCATTGAATCCATAGGCTTTCCTTATGATTTTCCACATCCCAGATCTGCTTCCCAATCAAAGCCTTGTTCCAAGCCCCTGGAAGCCTGATGTGGAGTCCTCCTCCACTCCTTTTTCTGCAAATTTCATTCCAGGCTACTAAACACCAGCTCCTGCCTGTTTCTTTCTGCCCCCATAGGAACTCTCGACAACATCTTTCTATTTGATGAATCACACTCTGTGGCAGTAAAAATATTTCAGACCAGTGCATATGCAGGTTCATCAACACTGAGTTTATCGGACTAGTCTACCAGCATAAGAAAGATACTTGGTAGACCAGCATCTTATTCTGGCCGTTATTTTATCCACAATCCCTTGACAGTCCTCTTGTTTCCAGGCATTAGGTGAGATGGGAGCACCAAGATACCTTATGGGAAAGGATCCACTCTGAAATCCTAAGATGACTGAAAATCTCATTTTGCATTTCCTCCAACACTCCACCAAAGTATACACTAGATTTCTGCAGATTAACTGTTAAGCCCGTAGTTTGAGCAAAATGCTCCAAAATCTGTTTAATCTTCTTAATTGTACCAATATCTGCTGCACACAGGATTATCAAGTCATCGGCGAAACTGAGATTAGTGATTCTCAGTTGCTCACAGTACGGGTGAAACTTGAAATCCTTTTGTGCTTCTTTCTTAAACAGCCTATTCAAGTATTCCATGACTAAAACGAATAACACAGGGGATAAGGGATCTCCCTGCCTCAGTCCCCGTTGGCCTTGGCAAAATCTCGTGTTGCTCCCATTAAGATTTAGTGAGTAACTACATGAGGTGACACACTCCATAATCCATTTAATGAATAAAGGAGGGAAGTGGAACTGCTGGAGCATCTCTGATAGAAAGTTCCAGTGTATAGAGTCAAAAGGTTTTTTTAGGTCGACTTTTAGTAGGCAGCTTGGTTTGACTGACTTGCGTTTCTATAATCGAACCAGTTCTTGGGTGAGTAGTATGTTATGAAAAATACTTCTTTGCTTGACGAAAGCCCCTTGGTTCAAGTCCACTAGGGTTGGCAGAACTTCACTCAACCTATTACTCAACAGTTTCGATATTGCCTTGTACACGGTATTACAGCACGAGATGATTATTATGTTGATTGGATTACAGCACGAGATAATTTTTAGTTATTATGTTGTAACTAATCATTTTGGTATGGATATTAATTGGTTGGATTGTACTCAAGCTCGAGATGATTGTTTCCTTGTTATTGACGATGGAGTATCGTAATGCTTGCTCTATTGATGATTTTACTTTGCCCTTGCAAGAATTTGGTAGATATGCAAATATTGAGGTTTTATGAAATGCCATTCTGTGATTTGTTATGTTTGAGGTGGATGTTGACGAAAAGGTTTCAAATTAAGAGACAAGGATTAAAATGTGGAGAAGTTTGTATGGGTGATTAGATCTTCCAAACATGATGCTAGCTATGTTCTTGTTCCTCGTGGGTCTTGTTTTATGGATGCTTTTTTTTGTGGATGCTTGTTTCATGACTCTCTTTTAATGTTTTGTTGTTCCTTTTTTCCTCTTACTGTATGTTCTTTGTGAGAGAAGATGATTTACAATATGAAGCACCATTTATGCATTATATATTTCACAAAATGTAAGGCAGTTCGGACATTGCTTTTATTGTTCTCATTGTTTCTAGAGTATGTTTGATGTAATGTACATCATTTTCGAGTTATGCTCGTAGCAATGATTAGAAAAGAAAGATTTTTTATTTTGGGCGATGATGGCTATTCATAAAAGCGGCCACATGCACAACCACCCCGTTGCTCACATCACCATTGGAAGCTTACCTATTAATTTGAATGGTGTGGATAAACTAGGAAACCTACATCAATTTATGTTCAATGCATAACAAGTCTGTACACCTAAAAGCATTGAAAATGTGGAACAGAAAGAGTGCGATATAGATAGATCTGGCCCAACCTTTCGACTTCTTTTTTTAATGTTATTATACTGGCTTACCAAAACTTATCTGTTGAAGCTTTTGGCAGGCCTGTTCAAGAAATTCCACTTCTTCAATTCCAGTTTGTCATATTCTCGAATTACATATGAATTGTATGTATTTATGGATTATAACTTTATTGATCAAATTAGAAGATTTTGAGAGTTTTCCTGATACAATTTGGGTTAATCAAGGAAGTCACCTGTAGCTCAAGTGTTTTCTTCTGCCTATTTGATTCTTCTGCCATGTAGAACCTATGTTGTGTGAGGTGTGTTGAAGTAGCATGAGTTTTATTATTTTTGGTGATTGTTTTGCAGAAAATTTCTGTCGATTTTAACATGTATTTTACCTTTTATTCATGCGTCTCTAATTCATCCTGCAAGGTTTCAGATCCATCCACTTCTCAAATTTTAGTCCAACTTCTGTGCTCCAGAGAATGTAGTGAAGGAGTTGAGTGACATTGGGTTGCATCTTTTTGTGTCGATGAATTTTTTTCATGCATGAGGAGGGTCTCTTCATGCATATCTTTTCATGGAAACATCTTAGAAAATTCATTTAACAATCTGGATTCCAAGATCTCTGATATTTTCTCATTTTTCAGGATGAGTTATCAAACATAAAGAATCAACTTTTTGAAAGATTTTCTCCAGATGATGCTTTTCCTCTTGGGGGGCCGTTGTTCATGGATACACCGTGTCCTTCTTCCCCAATTGCACAAATAGAGTTTCAGTCAATTGATGAGGTTATATTTAAGCCCATGGTGAAAAAACTTTTGTTTTGCTCATCACATGTGTTCTTACTTATGCTCATTTGATGTGTGTCAGATCATCGCTTCAACAGGTTTGACAGATGAAGATTCATTTCCAGATGCAAGTGGAAGTCAGTCAGGGCGAAAGACGTCTCTTTCTATCAATTCACTTGATATTTTGGGGGTTAACCAGCTCTTGGAATCTGTAAGTAAAATCATATTTTACGTATCAAGTTTTTCACTTGCTGCTGGAGACGTTCGGCAACGAATCAGATGAGCGATGAATTATATCGAAAATTTAATTAGTAAGCTTTGTGCGGCTGTTCAAATTAAGTCTTATAATTGCACATCAAGTAGTTTAGGGACTTTACTTTCCCACCAAAAGCAGTCATGTTCTAAGCAATACCCCACCAAATACCTTTTATTTCATACCATTTAGTTACAGTAGTGTTCCACATCTCTATCCTATAATGTACCTTCCACAAAGTCCCATTCCTAATTTATGGGAAAGAAGAGTGAGAACTTCTCTATGAATGGTTCCCATTGTTCCCAATGGCAGTGGGGGGTTTTTGCCACAATAGTTCTGTCTCAGATATGGAGCTTTAAAATATGCATCATATGAAGGGTGTTTTCTAGCAAATCACAGCAGCTCTACATCTATATTAACACTCAAATTAATTCTCATGGTGGATTTAATAGTTCTGACCTGCAGAAACCCTTGTGGTTGAATATTAAAAAAAATGGTTGAACCCAGTGTATAGCTCTTTAGACTTTAAGGCAGTAATCATTGTATGTCAAAAACAGGTATTGGAAACAGCACGCCAGGTTGCAAGTCTTCCAGTTTCTTCTACTCCAATTCCTTATGATCAAGTGAAGAAGGAATGTGAAGCCCTTGTAAATGGTAAACAACAAAAAATGTTGGCCTTGCAGAGCTTCAAGTTGCAACAAGAAGCAGAGGCCCTACTTCTTACAAATGAAAATAGTGTGAAGAGCACATTGCTATCGAACACAGTAAGGAATTGTCTTGCTTACATCCCTGATGCAATTCATCTTTCCATCAGAATTTTTCTTTCGCTATTTCAGTTTCAATAAAATGGTACCTTCCTATCAACATGTACATTAGCCTTTTCTTTATTCTGTAGGTACCGGATCTTTCTGGAGAGCTAAAATTCACCAAGACAGAAAAAATTCATGGTCAGACCCAGATGATCTGTGCACAGGAGTGTGTACAAGAACAGTCTTTTAGACTACCGCCTTCAAGCCCTTACGACAAATTCTTAAAAGCAGCCGGATGCTAGAGGTTATGCATAATCGTCTATCTGTACATGTGCTTGTAAACCATTGTAATATTATTGCAGGGAATTTATTGTATTAATTTTATTTATTTCATTCTTTGAAACCAATTTGATTGGCCATTTGTGAGGAATATAGGTTAGATATGCTCTTTGGTAATTTTGCTATTGGTGAAAGTGTGCAGAAGGGAAATAGTTATTGAGCAAAAAATGTTAGCTAAACAAATGATTTTAATCTATTCATTTGTGTTGGTTTGTAATTTACCTTGTATTATTATGTATAATATATAGAAATATACAAAAAGGTTCAATGGATACAAAACCTTTGAGAAGTATTTAATTATGGTTGTTGGTTTGACCTTTTCGAGTTTTATTATTTCTTTTCCGTCTATTTCTCTTCTTTTTTGTTTTTGTGGTACTGTGTAACGGTACTCTGAAATAAGTAGGTAAACAATCAGTAGGCTCTGAGTTTTGAAAGTTTATCATGTGTTTGATCATCAAGCGGAAGTGCTTCCCAGAACTGCTGTTGAATGCTGGTTTCTTCCATCAATTTCTGGACATGTTTATCTATATCCTGGAATGTGTCCTTACTGTTGTGTAGATGACTTAGACACCTTTGTAAACCGGAAGACATCTCAAGTTGAGTACGTTGGTCTGCCTTGGGACCCGACTCTCACCCAAAATTGTTCAAAAGGTCTTTTTCTTCTTCTGCTTTTTGTCTGTTCTCTCAAATCCACCAGGCCATGATCAGAATTTAGGATTGGTAAGTTTATGATTATGGCCTTATTAAAGTGTTGCAGCCAGTCTTTGTTAACAAAGGCTCTGTCCAGTGTTTCATATATAATTTGATCTTCTTGTCTGTTATTGGTGCAAGTATTACAACATTCTAGGTGTCTCAGTTCTTCCAGTTCATGTTTGTTCAAGAAACTTTTGATGGAGTTAGTGTCCTCGTCTGCACTACCTCCAAACTTGTCCTCTTGGTTAATAACTTGATTGAAATCTCCTAAAACTATACTAAGATACGACAAAGGAAGAAGAGTGCTATTCAAATCAAACCAAAGTTTGGATCTCCCCTGACGAGAGGGAAATCCATACATAAAGATAGCAACCCATTCTAGACCCTTAGCTTCTACAACCTTAACAACAATTACATTTGTAGACTTCAGCAGCAAGGTTACTGAAACACCATCTACCTACAATAAGGCTAAACCTCCACTTGATCCTACTTGATCTACTACAATCGAGTGCCTAAAAGATGTTCCTTGCTGCCACACTTCCAGACTACTTGAAATCATCTTAGTTTCCATCAAATATAACAAACTAGGGCTATATTGTTTTAATAATTTACATAATACTTGCTTGGTAGGAGCACTATTCATGCCCCTACAATTCCAACCGAGGATTCTCATAGAACCTGAGGCGGTTGTTTTGGATCAACCACCGCAAGTCCTTGTTGATTACCCTGGAACAACAACTTCTTATGAAATTCAGAAAGTAAGTAATTGCTAATGAATTTATCTTGCCACTCTCAGCATGCATCTTCCTGTACTTCTGGATCCATCGCTCTGCATCCTCTGTGCCATCAGTTGATTTGCCACATTTTTTGGCTGTAACACTGCCTGAGCAGTCTATAGAACTTCCTTCCTTCCCGCTTTCTTCACCCACAGCTGCCATTCTTTCCATCTATTTATCCTGTCTAGAGTCCTGTGAGAGTCTTGAGTGTGTTGTCCCTTGGAGTTGTCCCCTGCTTGCATTCCTTGTAGGACTCTACTGGTGTGATGTTGTCAGAGAATTGATGCATCTTTGCCTGCTTGTGCTTCTTTGCCTGAAAACTTGCTCCATTTTTCTTGAAGTTTTTGACGCATGCTAGAAGAACTCGCCTTGTCCTTGCACTTCTGCTGCATTCACCATATGTGTAGCCATTGAGCTCAGTCTGGACTTGTGTCCCTGGTTGCTGCTCTCCATTGGCCATGTCAGGACAATGTGTTCTTCAGACAAATTGATCTTTTTTCCTTGCATGTATAACCTGTTAAAGTATTGAGAAGCTTGTTTTTCCAGCTGGTAGCCAGCTTTCTGATGGTCCACAATCTCATTCACCATCTCTTCCATCACGGTTTCTTTACTTTGGCTGTCATACTAGCTTATATCCTCTACTAAATTGTTTTTATAAGCATTACAGAACCCCCCTCCCCATGGTTTCCACCATTCAGGGAGGACATCTAGGCCTACAGCTATCGGATTAGGGGACAGAACATTGTCTCCTTCTATCCTGTCACGCTGGTCTACAATTCTAATTCCTGAGGAACTAATTGTTCGTTCATGTTGAGATACTATCTCTAGCCCTACTTGTATATCATCATCTCCATTAACAGACTGAGAAACATTCAAAGTTCTATCTAATAACTGACTAGGAAATTGATTATTAAATTCAGTAAGGTTCTCAATCTCCATAGGAGGTACCATAGATAGATCCAAGGGGAGTCCATTATCATCAACAACTTCTTCCTCAGATACAAGTGATGAATAACTGAAATCATAGGACAAGACATGAGTTGGAGAATTACCTCTATCCTGACCACTAGACTTGGTGGAGGTGAGTTTGCTGGGCATAGATGGAAGCCATTCTCATTTGGTGGATGAATCCCTCCTTGTGGTGGCCCCTCCTGTTGCTCATTCCCATCCCGGTCTTTAAGATCCATATTCTCTTGACCACCATCCTTCGGCCCTTCGTTATTACCTGCATCTCCACCATTTCCATTATCTCCATTCTCATCGCCACCTCCATCCTCCCTATCATCACCTTCTTCTGGTGGTGGATCAATGTTCATAGGTTGGGATCCTTGATCACCATTCATAGTGATGCTAAATCCGTGATGGATTCTCTTCTCTATCAGAGCATAGTAATCCCTGGTTTTGTTCAAAAATGTTGTTGTTAATCTAGTACAACTTTCGATTTTTATCCAGTCTAATCAGAGCATAGTAATCCCTATCATCACCTTCTTCATCAAGGAATGCCTCCAAAGCCACATCTGAAACAATTGAGCGCTTGTGATTGGGATGGCCTAATCGTCCGCACCTTCGACAAAATTTATGCAGTCTCTCATATCGGCATTCAATCAGATTGGGGGTACCGATAAAAGACTACACGAAAGGCTGGGGTTAAAGGGTTGCCTGGCTCGACCCACATTTTCGCCCTGATGTAAGTAGCCTTCTGCAAAGAAAAAAATCCTCTTTGATTTTCTCCACTTCCCCGAGCATCGTAGCCAGTTCCCTGGCCCCCCTCTAGTTTTAATTTAACAGGGGCGCCTTATGCATCCTTACCTAATTCGTTCGAGAACTATGTCATCATCTTCATACCACCGATGCGGAATCAAAAGACCACATGCACCGCATAAGGACCATTATCAAGGGCAGCCATGAGATCAGTTTTGCAGAGAAAACAAATAACAAAGAAGTTTCTATCATAATGCTGCACCCTTTCGAGATTTGTGCACCTCTGAATTCTCTCATTTTGCCTTCCAACTTATTGTATTTCTCTTGTAGTAAGGGAAGCTCTTTCTCCCTAGTGGTAAACAGCAGTTGGTCTTTTTTATATGTAACTTCTTGGACAGCCTTCTCTTGCTCGGCCTCCTTCATGGCAGTTTGAGATCTCGTGATCTCCTCCCTCAGGGCCCTCAAGTGTAGAGTAAAGCTCATCATCACTTTGCTCAGCTGCAACCATGGACAGATACTGAGAACAATTAATATTATCTGAGGACATATAAGCCATGCTTTGAGGAACTACTTGCATTGCACACTCTACTTCGGTCATTGCCCTCGCTCGTTCTTCCAACAGTGGGCACTCGATGAAAGGAGGATCATTGAACATGTGGACAACCATTGGTACATCTCCAATAATTTGATGGGGCAGCATATTCTCCTCGAGAATTTCTTTACCTTTCTCCAAGGAGGAGGGATGTGAACTAGTTCCAGTTTTGATGACAAGGTCTGTTTCTTCTCGAGTAGGGGGAATTGTAGTTTCCTTCACGGGCTATTCCACTTTCTGCTTGAGCACTACCGAGTCATTTTTTTCCTCGATGTGAGGATCGTTCTTGTTTTTCTTCCTCAGTTCTTTTTCGGAAGCCTTGATTAGCTTTCTCTTCTTTTTGTTCTCTATCCGAGTAGGTGGGTCTTCGTCATCTTTTTCTGAATTTATAACAACAAAGGGTTGGGTATCACCATATAATCCGAGTGCAGTATTGCTTGACGACATGACTTAAATAGAAAGAATGAAAAGAGATTAGTACCTTCTTTCTCCTCGACTGGAATTGGAGGAACATAGGTTTGGACATCACTCCAGAGGATAAACTTTGGGTATTCTATTATCTCCTTCATATTAGCGTCATACTTCAGGATTTTCTTCTTATCATAGTCACTCCACTCATTCTTTATGGTCTCTAGGTTGTTCAATTCTCAAAAATCCCAGGGAACACAAAAGTTCTCTGGTGCTTTCACGAATAAGTAGTCAGGCTTCCACACTGGCAAACCACCATATGCCGTTACTATGGCCACAACACCAGATTTGGGGTTCTTCTTGATATTATACCAATCCTAGAACTTAGTTGAGAGTATACATACTTTAAAAAAGTACCTCCATACTATCAATCGAGGTTTTACCTTTACTAGCTCATAGATCCTCACGAGTCCAAGGACATACGTTATCAGATTTGGTGTGAATCGAGTAAGAGGAATTTTGTAATGTTGAGCAATCTCCCCAAATAAGGGAAAAAGGGGAATCTAAGCCCTATGAACAGAAATCGTTCATAAACAGTGATTTTCCCCGGTAGAGGAGTATTGGCTCTCTCGTTCCCTACTGGGCCTCTAACTTCTAGATATAAAGGAATATAATATTTTTTAGCAACAACTTTTGCTTTCTCATAAGAGTTTATAGTGGATTCGAAGTGCTCAATGCTGATTAAATCTGGGTTTCTACCACTAGCCATATCTACAAACAAAAGTTTTGCAAAAAATGAGATTCAGTAGCAAGGTTTTAGGCACTTACTGGAATAGGTTTCCACTCGCCTTTTGAATTGTAGTCTCCCAGGATAGCAGCTCTTTCCGATGATAAGAGTTACAGGCGCTCTAGCAGCGTCGACAGGGGCACTAGGGCAATAAAAGGATTTTTAGTCTTTCTGATGCTATTTTGAGAATGGATGGAGAGAAAGATTTGGAAAATTAATTCTCTTTGATAACAAGAGATGCGTCGGTTCCCACGTCTCTGCCGTTGCATCGGACTTCAAGGTAATAATGATGTTGCTGGCCGCCGTTTGGGGAACGTGCCAACTAATGAAGTGTTTAGGCGGGATATTGAAGCGGGCCGTCTTCCCGGTTCGGGTCCTTACCCGTAAGTAACACTCTTTCAGGGCTTTGTGCGTGGACCTTGTATCATGACTTGTTCAATAACTTTGGGCCCAGCCGAGGTTAAATTTACTTATGTCAAATCGTGTTTATTTCATACAACTAAAACTTGACAGGGGTACTTGACGAGTCCATATCCATCACGGGTTGTTGGACCCGGTACATTCGCCCATATAGTCCAACCGACTCCATAGAGCGGTTCATCAATAAGAGACCTGTTGTGGTGTGATTCGGATGTATATGAGAAGCATACACACGCAAACAAATAATAAAAACCTTATTTGTATGCACTCAAGACCAAAGAGGAAGCCCGTCATTGTGTCATGCAAATAAGGGTCGATTCCACAAGAAGGCTATTTCAAAATTGGTGCTAAATTGTGAAAGGTTGAGAAAAGAGATGATTTCACACACAAGAATGATAACACCAAAAAAATGAGAGTTGAAAGATAGAAATGAAATAACAAGGAAAGGAAAATAACTAAAAGAAGGTAGGGCTAGGACAATAGGAAGGGCAATAAGGTTACTAATGTGTTCCTAAGATGTGATGAAGGTCGTGTTCATTCAATCTAACTATGCCAATAAGATTTTGGAGACTACGGAGCCATTGTCTTTTACACCCCTAACTTATATTCCTAGTTGTTAGAACTCAATGCTAGAATCTTCTTTCGATCTCATCTAGAAATTAGATTAAGTGCTGTGGTTTAGGCCCCTTGATTCACTTTTTACACTTCCATGTCGTAGAGCTACTACAATCTCAAGTCCAAGTGGTTTTACTTTCCATGTAATCAAAGACTACACAAAAACCTATAATACATAAGCATGCATTTCATATTTTATCGCTGAACTCAAGCAATAATTCACACAGAATCACCAATGAGAGGTGTTTCATTGAGGGATGATGTTGTTTTTCTCTCTAGTTTCTATGCCTAATCTCTAGAATAGTATGACTAACCCCTTATGCCTAGGTGACTTTGGTCAATTAGATTAAACCAATTAACATCTTCTATCCACCCCTTCATTCTTTTTGTGCCTAAAGTAGAATTACAAGAGTTTCAATAATCAAAGTTCTACATTTATGAAGATAAAGAGTCATCCATAAATGCCCTAAAACATTCAAGTCAAAGGATCCATTCAACTTATATGATATAAAACAATAAGAGCTAATTATTGAACTCAAATCACAAATATCTCATGGCTTACGTGGCATAGATTAGGAGAAAGAACAATGAACCAAACATCTACGTAGAAACTATGCACTTTAAACAACAATAACCAAGGATAAACACAACTCATAAGAATATAAAACCACAAGTAAGGATAAAGAGATAAAGAAAACTTTCCTTTTTCAAGTAGAAGTTAAACCAAAGCTCTAATTATTCCTACATATCCAAGACTCTATAAAAGAGCTAAATAGAGTGTGCTTTCTCCCATATCATGGACCTTGAACATAAACCCTAACCTATGTGCAAGCCCCTTAACCAATCACATAGTAGAAGTCTAGTTAGAAATCCCCAAATGAAGAACCCTAGACTTTAACTATGAAAGGAAAGGAGAAAACCAAGAGCAAAATATATAATAAGAGTCTAAAATTAAACTAAAGAGGAGATCCTCCCAAAATTTGGTACAAAATAAGTATTTATAGGCAAATGAGACGGTTGGACTAAAATGAATAAGTAGAAAAATAGCTAGGTTGAATTGAAAGTCCTTCAAAGTTGGAAGCATAACGTTTGGTACTCTGCCCGATTTCTGGAAAGTTTGGGACAGCTTTGAACTGATATTGATGCATTTGAAACCTAAAACCTTCGTTGCAAATTATGGGGGGTGGAGGGATCAAGTTTGCAATTTCAGAAATTTCCTTTCTTCTTTCCCTCGTCTGAAGCTTTAGCCGCCCGCCGACTACCTCACCCGCCGGTGCCCTCTTTCCATTCTTTGAGCTCGATTTGGCCATGGATTTCATCACAAAGTGGCACTGAAATCTTTCCCCCACTATCCACAATAGAACCCTTGAATTGGATTCTCAAATATTCGTCCTTATTTGATCTTTTTGCTGCTGATTTAATTTCCCTCTTTCTCATCGGAGAAGTCATGGCCGTCGACGATTTGGGATGATTCTTCCAAAGATTTCTGTGGCAATCGACTCCTCCATGCTCTGATGACGTTTCCCCTTCGGATTCCATGTGTTTTGGCGAACATTTCATGCCAAATTGAGAACTTCACTTTGCTGCCAATTTCTTCTCTTTGCCAGAATTTCTATATTTTACCAGTCTGACGAACCATTTTCATTACAATTTTCCACCTGTTTGCAGCTGGAATTTGGATTTAATGCCTGAAGAGAAGTTGTAGCTGGCTTTCTCAGTTTCGCAACGGTATAAGGAACTTACCAATCTGAGCTACGAATCTCAAGTTAAGGTGTCCGGAAAATAACTGATTGATGCTGAAATTCTGCACATTTTGGATTCAGTTCTGACAACCGAACTTTAACTGCAATTTTGACTGCCGAAACCCCGAATTTGGAGAAGTATTCTGAGTAAAACCCGTAGCTCTCTTTCTCATCTTTACAATGGTACTTTTAACACTTAAATCAGAGTTATGAGCCAAGAGTTTGGCTTGACCTCTGAAAGTGGGATGATTTTTGCTAGAAATCTGTACATTTTTTAGAGTTGGTTTGATGACTGGACTTCAAGTGTAGTTTTGACAGATATATGCTATGAATTTGGCTCAGTGGTCTTCATGAACGTTGCAGCACTATCTTTCAGCTTCGCAATGACATCTTGATCAGTCAGAAACAGAGGCTCCTAGCTCAATTTATGTGGCTTCCATTATGGACTATTTGGCCTTAATCAACATGCATTCTCGGCACTTTTGATGAGTTTTGCTTCATTTTAACACAATTTGCTCATCCTATCAAAAATAAACAACAAAGTATAAGAGATGTGCACTTTTAACAAAGTGGCTATGGTGGAGTGGAAGTGACTCCTCTACCCTTAACTCATAGGTCAAGGGTTGGAATCTGCCCATTGGTATGGAGTAAGCTTAAATATTTTGGATAGTTGTCCCACCTATTTAGGTGTCTACAATTCAGCAAGGGAAATTAGTCATTGTTGCCAACGGTGAACACCATCTAAATGAATCTAAATAGAATCAAAGGTGTGTGAAATCACATGTTTTTCTTAAAGCTTTTACAGATTTAAGTATCGGAGTGTCTACCATCGAATCAGTCTCCTGAGGTTTTCTCTTGCAGATCACTGAAACACCACTAAGCCGGCGATCAGATTCCGGCTTCGTCAATATCTTCCAAACCGGTATTTTTCATTTCGTTTCCTACCGACTCTCACAGTCAAACTCATCACCACCACCGTCGTTTTCTCGACGCACTTTTGCAACTAAGTGGGAAGCATCGTGCTTTTTCTTCCATTCTCCATTTCCCCAATTCTGTTTTTTCAATGAATCGATATTCCTCCAATTTCTACCATCGATTTTTTTTTTATTTTTTATTTTTAGATTCCCATTAAGACA